TTGAGTTCCGTACCAAGTTTGGTCCAGATCTTTGATTGTCGGTGAACTATAAATCCCAGCAACTACAACTTCCAAATGACACAATCAATCTCCCCCAACCCCACCAGTATTCAGATTTGGGCGTATCAGGTATTTGTGCCAAATTTGGTCCAGTGAATGAAAATACATCCTGCATATCTGATATTTATGTTACAATTCACAGAAGCAGCAAAATTACAGTTATGAAGTAGCAACAAAAATAATGTTATGTTTGTGGGTCAACACATCTTGAGGAACTGTATTAAGGGGTCGCGGCATCAGGAAGGTTGGGAACCCCTGCATTAAAAGCACAGGAGCCCCACCACAAAAAAAAATTGACCACCCCACCCCAATATCCGAAGAACATATTGGTTTCTCCAGGCTGGAAAGGTCAGTAAACCGATCCCTCTTAACTTTATTTTCCTTTAATATAAAGAAAATATTGACTTTTACGTCAAACCAGGCTATAAATCTCTTATCGGGAGATGTGCTTGACAAGGGAGGGAAGGAAGGAGGGAGAGAGAGAAAAAACCCCAAAGCCATTGTGCAAAGCTTTTATGGAACTGACGGCTCATTAAACCCGTTAAGCTGCTCAAAATGAATAAATTGGCAAGAGAATGGGAGCCAAACCAAGGAGGCATGGAAAGGGACAACAAGGGCACAATTTCATGTCTTTCGTATTCAGAATTGGACTCCTGCTTGCTGAGTGTTCAACAAAGTTCCCTGAAAAACTAGAAACAAAAATAAACATAGGATTTTGCTCCTGTTATGAATCATCATGTAAATATCTGATATGCAGGATGTATTTTCATTCACTGGACCAAATTTGGCACAAATATCCGATACATACACCCAAATTTGAATACTAGTGGGATTAATTTTGTCATTTGGGAGTTGTAGTTGCTGGGATTTATAGTTCACCTACAATTAAAGAGCATTCTGAACTTCACCAACGATGGAATTGAACCAAACTTGGAACACAGAACTCCCAACACCAACAGAAAATACTGGAAGAGTTTGGTGGGCATTGACTTTGAGTTTGGGAGTTGTAGTTCACCTACATCCAGAAAGCATCAAACACTGATGGATCTGGACCAAATTTGGCTTGAATACTCAATATATACTCAATAATAATAATAATAATAATAATAATAATAATAATAATAATAATAATAATATGCCCAAATGTGAACACTGGTGGAGTTTGGGGAAAATAAGCCTTGACATTTGGGAGTTGTAGTTGCTGGGATTTATAGTTCACTTACAATCAAAGAGCATTCTGAACTCCACCAACAATGGAATCGAACCAAATGTGGTACAGAGAACTCCCATGAGCAACAAAAAATACTGGAAGAGTTTGCTGGGCATTGACCTTGAGTTTTGGAGTTGTAGTTCACCTACATCCAGAGAGCACTGTGGACTCAAACAATGATGGATCTGGGCCACACTTGGCTTGAAAACTCAATATGTCCAAATGTGAACCCTGGTGGAGTTTGAGGAAAATGGACCTTGGCATTTGGAAGTTGTAGTTGATGGGACTTAGAGTTCACCTACAATCAAAGAGCATTCTGAATTCTACCAACAATAGAATTGGGCCAAACTTCCCATGTGCTCTATCCAATGCAAACAGAAACTAGAGCTGATGTGGTCTACCCAATGCAATCAGAAACTAGAGCTGATGTGGGCTATCAAATGCGATCAAAGACTAGAGCTGATATGGTCTTTCCAGTGCAGTCAGAAACTAGAGCTGATGTGGTCTATCCAATCAATCAGAAACTAGAGGTGATGTGGTCTATCCAGTGCAATTAGAAACTAGAGCTGATGTGATCTATCCAATGCATTCAGAAACTATAGCTGATGTGGTCTATCCAGTGTAATCAGAAACTAGAGCAGACGTGGTCTATCCAATGCAGTCAGAAACTAGAGCTGATGTGGTCTATCCAATGCAATCAGAAACTAGAGCTGATGTGATCTATCCAACGCAGTCAGAAACTACAGCTGATGTAGTCTATCCAATGCAATCAGAAACTAGAGCTGATGTGGTCTATCCAATGCAATCAGAAACTAGAGCTGATGTGGTCTGTCCAGTGGAATCAGAAACTAGAGCTGATGTGGTCTATACAATGCAATTAGAAACTAGAGCTGATGTGGTCTATCCAATGCAATCAGAATCTAGAGCTGATGTGGTCTATCCAATGCAGCCAGAAACTAGAGCTGATGTGGTCTATCCAGTGCAGTCAGAAACTAGAGCTTTTGTGGTCTATCCAGTGGAATCAAACTAGAGCTGATGTGGTCTATCCAGTGCAATCAGAAACTAGAGCTGATGTGGTCTATCCAGTGCAATCAGAAACTAGAGCTGATGTGGTCTATCCAGTGGAATCAGAAACTGATGTGGTCTATCCAATCTGCTTGCCCACAGAAAACCATATTTAATTAGTCTCGGCACTATAAGCGTGTTTTGCGAGACCATTTGCTCTCATTGCAACTGTGAGGCCGCGAACCATATTTTAGTTCTTGTGGACCACTGGTGGTCCATAGACCACAGGTTGGGAATCACTGGTTTAGAGGACGGCTATAAACTATAAATCTCAAGATTTCACCAACACAGAGCTTTAATTTTGCAATGTGGTTTAAGGGTGTTACTCCCCCCAAAAGGTAACTTTTTAAAACTCTCTCCGTGATATCGTAATATACAAGACGTCTTCACTTTGTTGCATCTAGAACAGACATTGGCAAACTTTGGCCCTCCAGATGTTTTGGACTTCAACTCCCACAATTCCTAACAGCCTACCGGCTGTTAGGAATTGTGGGAGTTGAAGTCCAAAACATCTGGAGGGTCAAAGTTTGCCAATGCCTGATCTAGAACCCCAACTTCTAGGTGTTCCTACATCACCTTGACCGAAATGGAGAAATGTCATTGAAATCTACCAGACCTTTTTGCCCTGGGCAACCCCAAATACATGTCTCGAGTGCCCTTCTCTCTGCACCCCATTTTGTGCTGCAGCCAGGTAAACATATTCTCTTTTTCTCTCTGCCGTTTGGTCTTTTGTTCATACCTTTCCATGGGAGAAGCAGGTGCTTTTGTATGCCAACTGCCACTTATCAGATCTAGTTTTTATAAACATAAGAAGACGGAAGCGGCACCAGGCGAGGCACAGATGGGGCCGTCGGCTCAGGTTGCAGGAGATGCGGATTTGGGGGAGACAGGTACACGTTTGGCCCTGGCCTCATGTTTTTCAGGACAAGGAGCGAGAAAAGAAACAGGTGACTCGGAAAGTCGACCCGACAGGTGAGTCAGGGATACTTTATGCAAGACTTGCACATCAATAGCACCATTTTCCAACGCACGCGTTTGTGGTTTTCCAGACTTAGAAGAAGGTGATATGAAGTGGGATGAATCTCCCACTGGTCACGTTGTTGGTGGGGCTGATGGGAGCTGTAATATCTATCTATATCTATCTATCTATCTATCTATCTATCTATCTATCTATCTATCTATCTATCTATCTATCTATCTATCAGAGCCCCCGGTGGCACAGTGGGTTAAACTGCTGAACTACTGAGCTTGTTGACCAAAAGGTCACAGGTTTGAATCTGGGGAACAGCGTGAGCTTTCGCTGTCTGCCCAGCTTCAATTTGAAAACATGGAAATGTGAGTAGATGAATAGGTACTGCTCCAGTGGGAAGGTAATGGCGCTCCATGTAGTCATGCCGACATAACCTTGAGGTGTCTATGGACAATGCCGGTTCTTTGGCTTAGAAATGGAGATGAGCACCAATCCCCAGAATCAGACACGACTGGACTTAGATGGGCCCAGGGTTCCGTCCTGGGCCCGGTCCTGTTCAACATCTTTATTAATGACTTAGATGAAGGGCTAGAAAGCAGGATCATCAAGTTTGCAGACGACACCAAATTGGGAGGGATAGCCAATACTCCAGAGGACAGGAGCAGGATTCAAAACGATCTTGACAGATTAGAGAGATGATGGCCAAAACTAACAAAATGAAGTTCAACGAGGACAAATGCAAGATACTCCACTTTGGCAGGAAAAACGAAATGCAAAGATATAGAATGGGGGACAATGCCTGGCTCGCGAGCAGTATGTGTGAAAAAGATCTTGGAGTCCTCTTGGACAACAAGTTAAACATGAGCCAACAATGTGATGTGGCGGCAAAAAAAGCCAATGGGATTTTGGCCTGCATCAATAGGAGCCTAGTGTCTAGATCCAGGGAAGTCATGCTCCCCATGCTCTATTCCGCTTTGGTTAGACCACACCTGGAATATTGTGTCCAATTCTGGGCACCACAATTCAAGAGAGATATTGACAAGCTGGAATGTGTCCAGAGGAGGGCGACTAAAATGATCAAGGGTCTGGAGAACAAGCCCTATGAGGAGCGGCTTAAGGAGCTGGGCATGTTTAGCTTGAAGAAGAGAAGGATGAGAGGAGATATGATAGCCATGTATAAATATGTGAGAGGAAGCCACAGGGAGGAGGGAGCAAGCTTGTTTTCTGCTTCCTTGGAGACTAGGACGTGGAACAATGGCTTCAAACTACAAGAGAGGAGATTCCATCTGAACATGAGGAAGAACTTCCTGACTGTGAGAGCCGTTCAGCAGTGGAACTCTCTGCCCCGGAGTGTGGTGGAGGCTCCTTCTTTGGAGGCTTTTAAACAGAGGCTGGATGGCCATCTATCAGGGGTGATTTGAATACAATATTCCTGCTTCTTGGCAGAATGGGGTTGGACTGGATGGCCCATGAGGTCTCTTCCAACTCTTTGATTTTATGATTCCAAAAGGTCGGGGGAAAACCTTTACCTTTTCCTAGCTACCTACCTACCCATCCATACATCCATCCATACATCCAAGTTTTGCTTCCACCTCACTTGGATTTTGATGAGTTTCATTCCAAATTTGGACAGTCAGAAACTAAACTTGCAGAATCTCCTTCGATCTATAAGCCATTAAGCCAATCTTTCTCAACCTTTGGGTCGGGACCCTTGGAGGCGTTGCGAAGGAGGTCAGAGGGGTCACCAAAGACCATAATAAAAAAAACACAGTATTTTCTGTTGGTCATTGGGATTCTGTGTGGGAAGTTTGGCCCAATTCTCTCATTGGTGAGGTTCAGAATGCTCTTTGATTGTAGGTGGACTATAAATACCAGCAACTACAACTCCCAAATATCAAGGTCTATTTTCCCCAAACTCCACCAGTGTCCACATTTGGGCATATTGAGTATTTTTATTATATTTTTATTTGATGTATTATCGTATGTTTGTATATTTGCTTTGTTGTTTGTTTGTCTATCTATCTATCTATCTATCTATCTATCTATCTATCTATCTATCGTGTCATTGCAACCAGTCGATTATATTACATTTTTAACAGAACAGAGCAAAAAAAAAAAACCCAAAAAAACAGAAATATACAAAATTTGTGAGTTTGGTAGTGGATTAAATGTCCTTTGACCAGTATCTGGCCACTTGGAGTGCCTCTGGTGTTGCTGCAAGGAGGTCCTCCATTGTGCATTTGGCAGGGCTCAGGGTGCATTGCAGCAGGTGGTCAGTGGTTTGCTCTTCTCCACACTCGCATGTCGAGGATTCCACTTTGTAGCCCCATTTCTGAAGGTTGGCTCTGCATCTCGTGGTGCCAGAGCGCAGTCTGTTCAGCGCCTTCCAAGTCACCCAGTCCTCTGTGTGCCCAGGGGGGAGTCTCTCATTTGGTATCAGCCATTGGTTGAGGTTCTGGGTTTGAGCCTGCCACTTTTGGACTCTTGCTTGCTGAGGTGTTCCGGCGAGTGTCTCTGTAGATCTTAGAAAACTATTTCTAGATTTAAGTCATTGACGTGCTGGCTGATACCCAAACAGGGATGAGCTGGAAATGTCTCTGCCTTGGTCCTTTCACTATTGGCTGCTACTTCCCGGCGGATGTCAGGTGGTGCAATACCGGCTAAGCAGTGTAATTTCTCCAGTGGTGTAGGGCGCAGACACCCCGTGATAATGCGGCATGTCTCATTAAGAGCCACATCCAATGTTTTAGTGTGGTGAGATGTGTTCCACACTGGGCATGCATACTCAGCAGCAGAGTAGCACAGCGAAAGGGCAGATGTCTTCAGTGTCTGGTTGTGATCCCCAGGTTGTGCCAGTCAGCTTTCGCATGATATTGTTTCTAGCGCCCACTTTTTGCTTGATGTTCAGGCAGTGCTTCTTGTAGGTAAGAGCACGTCCAGAGTGACTCCCAGGTATTTGGGTGCGCTGCAATGCTCCAGTGGGATTCCTTCCCAGGTGATCTTCAGAGCTTGGGATGCTTGTCTGTTCTTGAGATGAAAGGCACATGTCTGTGTTTTAGATGGGTTGGGTGCTTTGTTGTAACTGCTGGGCTTGGCCTCATGTTAGCTGCCCAGAGTCCCCTTGGGGAGATGTTGGCAGGGTATAAATAAAAATTATTATTATTATTATTATTATTATTATTATTATTATTATTATTATTATTAGATTCAGGTGTACTCTTGCTTCATGAGCTGCTGAATGAATTTATCCACATGGACAAAGGAAGATTATTTTAGATCTCCCATAACAGGACATTATGTGAGTGGATGCAACTGATCACATTGTACATATGTTGTTCTGAATGACAAAGAGTAAACTACTTGTTCTTTATTGTTCACCTGCGTGGCATATTTTCTTTCTCTGGCAAGGCAGTGTGTGGGCTGATCAAATGTGAACTACAGTTGTTTTATTTTACATTGAGTCACATTTTCTATCCTCTTATGAAGCTAGAAAAGTAGTATTTCTAGACATAGAACTGGAGGCTATTCTTGCAATTTGAAGAGTTGTACATTAGTGGAAATTGTAGCAGGAACTACTTGCCATGCAACTAGCTAACCTGCTGAAATCTCTTCTATACAACCATGAAATTGTCCCATCTTATTCCACAGATTCTGGAACATCCCCAAGATCAGGGGATAATGTGTTGGCAATCTCCAAAGGAATGAAGCCCACAGGAGAAGAAGGTTCCTCCTAACAAGATGGCCAACATCCCATAATGGAAGACTTTGACAATTCATCCTCCAAGAACCTCTGCTTCCAAGCGTCCAACGTGACTTCGTCTCCGGTCCTCAACATCCCCTACTTCCTCTGCGAGAACTTGACGTCCCTGCTCTCCATTGTGGGCAATCTTTTCATCTGCGGCGTCATCTTGCAGAACCGGAAGCTACGTGCCGTCGTCACCAACTACTTCCTGGTCTCCTTGGCCATGGCGGACTTACTGGTGGGGGCCGTAGCCATCCCTTGTGCTCAATTCACCGAGTTGGGTTTGCCGCGCCACAGGCCACAACTGTGCCTTTGGATGCTCTGCACGGTGTTGGTGTTCACGCAAGCCTCCGTCTTTGGCCTGTTGGCCATCGCCGTGGAGAGGTACATCTCCATCCTGAGGCCTTTCCAGTACAAGTCCTTGATGAGTCCTCGCAACTCGCTTTTGGTGATCTTGGCCTGCTGGGTCCTGGCCATCGTGATCGGCCTCCTGCCCCTGATGGGTTGGCACAACCCATTCCCGGCCAGTGGGGAATGCTTATTCAACAGCATCATCAAGAACACGTACATGGTCTACTTCAACTTCATGGCCTGCATGCTGGCCCCTTTGTCGGTCATGATGGTGCTGTACGGACGGATCTTCTTGGAGGTCAAGCGCCAGATCCGGAAGGTGGCCGAAGGAGAGGTGGACGTCAGCGCTCAAGAGCGACGGCGCATCATCGTCCGCAAGGAGCTGCAGACGGCCACCTCGCTCTTCATTGTGGTCTTCTGCTTCATCGCCTGTTGGTTCCCAGTCCACATCCTCAACACCATCATGCTCGTCTGTCCCTCCTGCTACATCCCCAGCCAGGTTGTGTTGGCCACCATCATTCTCTCCCACGTCAATTCTACCATCAACCCTGTGATCTACGTCTTCCGCATGAGATCCTTCCGGAAAGCCTTCGAAAGCGCCTGGTCTTGCATCTGTCTGTCCACCACCGTGGGGGTGCTTTCAGGATCCGAGACCATCCCGTCCAACGCGTCGGAGAGCCCAATCTTTCGGAATACCTCTCTGCCAGGAAACTGACTTTCCATGATGTCTGTATGTAAGTTTCCAGTTGAGGGAACCCAAAGCCCTAGCAGTGGGAATGGACTTTACTGGAGGTCAAATGGAGCTTGCCAAGATATTGTTAAAATGCAACAGATAGATAATCCCAAATCTGCAACAAGTAAGACTGGGTGCCTTGAGTGAATCTGCACGCTTCCCTCGTGTTCTTGCAAAATTGATTTTGCTTCTGTCACACGTGGAAAGGCCAGTTTCCTATGGAAGGACTCTCTCCTTCCTCATTTAGGTAGCCAGGTATCACTTATTTGGGATGTTGCCTTGTTGAGGGTTGGAAAGCTTTTTCCTTTTATATAGACTGGATAAGATGCTTTAAAAGAGTAGTTCCAACCTTTTTTTAAATCAGGGACCCATTGACCAAGGACCACTTTGACCAAGGACCACTTGAAAAGGGACCAATTTGTCCAGGGACCACTTTGTCCAGGGACCACTTTCTCCAGGGCCCACTTTGACCAGGGTCCACTTTGTCCAGGGACGACTAGACCAGGGACCACTTAACCAGGGCCCACTTTGTCCAGGCAACACTTTACCAGGGCCCACTTTGACCAGGAACCACTTTGACCAGGGACCACTTGACCAGGGACCAATTTGTCCAGGGATCAATTTGTCCAGGACCCACTTTGACCAGGGCCCACTTGACCAGGAACCACTTTGACTAGGGACCAGTTTGTCCAGGGACCAGTTTGTCCAAGGACCACTTGACCAGGGCCCACTTTCACCAGGGACCACATTTACCAGGGACCACATTGACCAGGGCCCATTTTGTCCAGGGACCACTTGACCAGGGCCCACTTTAACCAGGTCCCACTTTGTCCAGGGACCACTTGACCAGGGACCAGTTTGTCCAGGGACCACATTGACCAGGTCCCACTTTGTCCAGGGACCACTTGACCAGGGACCACTTGACCAGGTCCCACTTTGTCCAGGGACCACTTTGACCAGGGACCACTTCACCAGGGACCACTTCACACAGGGACCACTTTGTCCAGGGACTATTTTGTCCAGGGACCACTTGACCACAGCCCACTTTGTCCGGGGCCCACTTTGAACAGGGACTACTTTGTCCAGGAGTCACTTTGACCAGGGACCACTTGAAGAGGGACCATTTTAACCAGGGACCACTTTGACCAGGGACCACTCTCCAACATTAGTACCAAAAAGGTTATGAATCAGTTTTTGGTCAACTTTAGATTCAGTTTGGTTATTTGGGATGCCGATTCAGAAAATTGTATTGGATAGACTACATCAGCTCTAGTTTCTGATACAGAACATACGCGATCCAATAGTCGCTATCTGCTTACCCACAGAAAACCATATTTGATCATCCTTGGCACTATAAGAGGATTTTGTGAGACCAGTTCCTACTATTGCAATGGTGTAGTAACACTGATGTTGTAGTTCAGCCATCTGATGATGATGTGGGGTTTGGGTGTGCAGGACCTGATGCTTCTGGAGATGCTCAGACAGAGGGGATGTTGGAACAGAATGGTGATTCCTCAGTTGGGGGAACAGAGGGGGATTTGGAATTAGATGTTGATTCTCTGTGTGAAAATGAAACTTTTTTAGAAGCTGACAGGCAGAGAAGGGAGGAGGACATGAGTTCACCCGATGAAGGTGTAAGACTATAGGATCTATACAGCAATATTAAATAACCACTCACAAGCCGGTTTTGCTTTGAAATGGATATATTGCTTATATCTCTGCAGCAAAGAAAGACACTACTGACTTTTCCCCACCACCACTTCCTTTTATACACCTTTCCTGCTCATCTCCCCCCTCTTCTCAGTTTCCTTATTAGAGCTTGTTGCTTCACAAGTTCCAATACAAGGTTTCCAGTGCCCTCTGCTGGCTTCCAAAATGTCACAGAGAGAGAATTGAGTCAGCCAGGATGATTCAGTCAGGATGTCACAGAGGGAATTTGTGACGTCTTCATGCCGTCAGAAATTGACTCCTAACATAAGGGGGTGGGGGTTAGACAGAGAATCCAAGCTTATTCCTGTTGGGGAAGAATTCCAGGTGCAAACTGAGTCATGGAAAAGGGAGGCAGAGGCCTGGGAAAGAGAGGCACAGACAGGCTTCTCAAGGCCAACGGGATGCCTTCATGCATTGCATCCTTAATTAGGGAAAGGAAGCTCATAGGTTTCAGATCAAGCAACGTCACAAATAGAGTGAAAAGCTCCTGCCTTGTTCCTGGTCCTGTTATGGATTCAAGCCAAGTTTCTTAGTCAAGTTTTGCTACCAGTCTTGGGGATTTTACCCATGGATTCACGCTCACGTTTTGTTCCTTGTTTCTTAAATTAATCAAGCTCATGTTTTGTTCCATCTATCTTGGATTCATGTTCATGCTTTAACCGTTGCACTGGAGATTTATCTCTGTTTTTTTTTTTTTACTTCTTCTTTCTTCACATATTTGTATTTTTACTCTTTTACTGTGTGTTCTATCAATAAATTGTTTATTACCACTTTTGGCTTCCTGGTGAGTGCTTGTGCAAGGTGAACTCCTGCTGAGGTGCAACAGGTGAGGCCGCAGGTGAGGCCATATTTTAGTTATTGCGGACCACTGACGGTCCACGGACTACAGGTTGGAAACCACTACTTTGAAAAGTCCCTTTGTTATCGTGTGTGCATCATGTCATTTATAAATGTGCCCAGTATGTTAATTATGTACTTCCATGTGCTATTTAGGTAGATTACAGACTTAATAGATATTTCCTGATTGTCAAGCGTGCATATTGTGAAATTCAGCTGTCCTTTACTACTGATTATAAACTGTTTACTTATGAATTGGCTGCAGGATCAGGTTCTGGGGAAAATCCTTCTGTTTCATCTTCAATATGGGATTTGTTTAAGTTGGAGAAGAGGTTCAATATCAGCAGGGTGTCCATTATCACTCAAGCAGGGAGCTTTGAGATGGTTGGACAGAAGCTCTCCGAAGCTCTAGGTGCCCTTACTGCCTATTACAGGGAAAACCAACTGATTCCAAACCCATCTAAAACACAGAAATGTGCCTTTCACCTTAAGAACAGACAAGCATCCCAAGCTCTGAGGACAACCTGGGAAGGAATCCCACTGGAGCATTGCAGCGCACCCAAATACCTGGGAGTCACTCTGGACCGTGCTCTGATCTATTTATTTATTTATTATTTATTTACTATACTTGTATACCGCAATTTCTCAGCCTAACTGGCGACTCAACGCGGTTTACAACAACAAAATATACAATCCACAGTATACAATTTAAAACCATAAAAAACATAATACACAATATCGGCATGTAGATCACAATCCAATACATCCAATACACCTAGAAGAAGCACTGCCTGAATATCAAGCAAAAGGTGGGTGCTAGAAACAATATCATACGAAAGCTGACTGGCACAACCTGGGGATCACAACCAGACACAGTGAAGACATCTGGCCTTGTGCTATGCTACTCTGCTGCTGAGTAAGCATGCCCAGTGTGGAACACATCTCACCACGCTAAAACAGTGGATGTGGCTCTTAATGAGACATGCCGCATTATCACAGGGTGTCTGCGCCCTACACCACTGGAGAAATTACACTGTTTAGCCAGTATTGCACCACCTGACATCCGCCGGGAAGTAGCAGCTGATAGTGAAAGGACCAAGGCAGAGACATCTCCAGCCCATCCCTTGTTTGGGTATCAGCCAGCACGTCAACGACTTAAATCAAGAAATAGTTTTCTAAGATCTACAGAGACGCTCACTGGAACACCTCAGCAAGTGAGAGTCCAAAAGTGGCAGGCTCAAACCCAGAACCTCAAGCAATGGCTGATACCAAATGAGAGACTCCCCCCTGGGCACACAGAAAACTGGGCGACTTGGAAGGTACTGAACAGACTGCGCTCTGGCACCACGAGATGCAGAGCCAAACTCAAGAAATGGGGCCACAAAGTGGAATCCACGACATGCAAGTGAGGAGATGAGCAAACCACTGACCACCTGCTGCAATGCAACCTGAGCCCTGCCACATGCACAATGGAGGACCTCCTTGCGGCAACACCAGAGGCACTCCAAGTGGCCAGATACTGGTCAGAGGACATTTAATCAACTACCAAGTTGGCAAACTTTGTGTTTTTTTATCTGTTTGTTTGTTTTGTTCTGTTAGAAATGTAATACAATTGTCTGGTTGCCCCTGACATGATAAATAAATAGCAGGGTGTCCATTACTCATTTTGAATATGTGCAGGCATGTTTTTATGAAATGATCCCACCCCGATCTCCAATGACAATCTGACATTGTTTGGACCAAATCTGCTTTTGTGAGGTAGGAAAGTGTAGTAATAAATCATTATCACTCTCCCCTTGCCTCTCACTAATTTTCTAAACTGGTGTCGACATGGCCAACTGTGCGGAGATTCCCCACAAGAGGTCACTGCAAGGCTTTCCAAACATTCAAAGTTTTATGTTTTTGAAGGTTTTTCATGGCTGGGATCACTGGGTTGCTGTGAGTTTTCAGAGCTGTCTGGCCATTTTCCAGCAGCATTCTCTCCTGACGTTTCACCCACATCTATGGCAGGCACCCTCAGAGATTGTGAGGTCTGTAAATAAAGAGCAACACTAAAAAAAACCAGGGGAATTCCAGACAAGTATCAATCAGGGTCAGCTAACACCTCCCAACAAAGAATCCCCTTGGACGGCAACCTTGTTTACTTAGGCGAGCCCTCGTAGCTCGAGGATGATGGTCTTCCAAGTGTAGTGTCTTGGCAGTGGGTTTGTAGGTGGCTGTGGAAACCCATTCTTGATCTGCATGTTTTTCCACCATGAAGGCAGTCCTGGTCAGGGTTGGCTTTCTCTTGGCACGTTTCTCCCTTTCACCCTCCATTCGTGCTTCTTCTAATTCCACAGCACTGCTGGTCACAGCTGATCTCCAGTTCAAGCACTCAAGAGTCAGGGCTTCCCAGTTTTTGGTGTCTATGCCAAAGTTTTTAAGCTTTAAGCCCA